CAGTGGTTTTATTTAAACGGGATGTCAGTATGGAATGACTTCTGCATTCTCTCCTGGAAGTGGGTGAATTTCCATGGTGAGCAATTCCTCTATATACAGTTTGCAAATCATTTTGGGAACCTTCCAAATGAAAGGCACTGTATAAATATACCCTCCCACCAGCAGCCAGCCGGCTTTCCAACGGGGATGCATTTGCATCGCTTATGTACATAGTGTTTCATTTGGGGCATTGCTTTTATTTTTATGACCATAAAAGAAATATTCACAGTATGAACAATAATGTAAACGGCATTCAAAAAGATATATATTTGTATGTCTTTATGATTCAAAACTTAGAAATCTGAAAGAAAAGCAGCCATGGCATTTTTCTTTCCTGTTGCTGTTATTTTTTCCCATAGCATTCTTTATTATTCCTGAACTTTATGGTGGAATTTTGCTGAAATGCGCAAGTCTTTGTCTGTACCTCATGTGAGAATATGTGGTGGTGGGTTCAAATGAATGTTGCTGGCAAAAGGCCTGAAAATGAAGGGTACTTGACTTTATGTTTATTCAAGTCAGTAATAATAGTTTGCTTTAGTATTGCCTTTTTGTGGCTAGAGGCCTCTTTGAGAAAGAGAAAAAGAAGCAACCTCAGGTATAAAATACCTTCTAAGTAACTTAGCATGATAATGGGAACTTTCACGGATGGGAGAGGCTTTGAAGAGTTGTATTTTAGTCTTCCTAACAAAAGAGGGGCTGATTTCATACAGCATTCCTGGGGAGATAGACTTTGAATTCATATCATACAGGAAATATTTATTGAACTTTGAAATAAATTGCCAGCAGCATTAAATCAAAACCTTTGTAAATTATGCATTTATTTACCTAGTTGCATACAAAATGAGCTGAATTATAACTTCTTAATTTACACATTTCCATAATTAATTAAATGTAAACAGAATGAAATAACCCATTGCAGACATATTTTCTAGCCTTGAGGCTATTCTAGATTTAAGGCACTCATTAAACAACAACAACAATAACAGCAACAACAAATGGAGTTACCAGTCTTCAGAGTAATTTTGTGTAGCAAAATACCTGAAAAGTTAGGTCAAATAAAATTCTCCCTCATTTCATTGAGGAGTGGTATGAAGGGTAGAAAATTAAACTTAAGCCACCAGTAGTTAAAGGTAGAATTAATAAGAATCGGACCTCATTCCCTCCGTCCATAATTGTCTTTCATAGACACAAAATTTGGTATTTCCTCACTTTTTACGACTAAAACAATGAATGTAATTTAAAAAATCTCAGCTATCATATGTAATGTTAGGAATTAACTCACTCGTTATTTTGAGACTTATAAAATAAATGCTTTTATATTTTTCTTCTGCTCAGTCAGAATATGATTGTAGCTTATCTCTAATTTCTTACTTCCAGTAATACCTAGTTTGTTTCATTAATTTGATGTAACAAATATTGACACTTTTCTTTCTGACTACAAGAAAATAGAACAGCAGCTTCCTCAATAGAGAAGAGTAACAAGCACAGATTGATCTGCAGCCAGTTTTTACTACAAATCCCATTATGCTTTGCATTATAGCCTACAATCCCCATACTGCAGCACCAAACTTTAACTATCCTGTTACTGGTATGGGAAATAATAGAACAGTTGAGAACTACGTAATACGTTCAGCTTCTACTTGTATGGTAATTATTAATTCAGTGTTTTGAGATTTTTCTTGCTTTTGTCCTTTAGTAAAAGAAAACCACTTTTATGGATAATCAGACTATTTCTACACCATGATTATAATGTCATATATCCTCAAACAATCTGTCAAGGTATATACTCCTCAGGTCAAAGGCTTTTTCTCCTTTTTTTTGTTCTCATTATATATTTCAAATTGGCCTCGAACTCACTGTGTAGCCCAGGCTGCCTCAGACTCAATCCTCCCACATCAACCTCTCCAGTGCAGAGTTTAAAGGAATGAAGACCATACCAGCTTTCTTGTTAACAGCCATCATGGAGTCCTGCAAGTTTTCAATCCTCCATGTGGAGAGAGGTCAGTATTATTCATATTTTAAAATAAAGTCACAATACATTATTTAATGCTCCAAACATCTGCAAATGAGAATTTGGTAATTAAAACGTTTAATTAGATGCACCTTGCAGCTGCTGTTATTCTTAATTGGCAATAATGCAGCTACATTTTGTTCTGACACATATCTTCAGAAGAGTTAGAGAGAGAGAACTGAAGGGAGGCATGAGGAAAATGTTCCCACACAGTTCAAGACAGTTCGCACAAAGAGGATCCCATGGCAACAAACAGCGAGGCCCACAGTTGGCTCTGTAGGATCCAGGAATAGACAATGCTTCACCTCGAATTCAAACAAACAGTTCCCTTCCTGCATGTGAAGAGAAAGCATTTAAAAGCATCTCGTGCAGTAGGATTGAAATTGTCCAATATTCACCTGTGTCTTTAAGGCATTTCTCAATGCCTGTAGAGATTCTCTGCAGCCTGTGCAGAGGTGAGACTTTCAACTCACTCTCCTTATGGGCAACAGACTTGTCTTACGGAATCATTGCCAATGGAGCACTTGAATTTTGTCCTCTATGGAGCTGGACTACACCTTGACAATTAGTTCAGCTGTCATTTGTTCAGACAAGAAAACAGATACTCCTAAGAGAAGTTAATGATTCCCGTGGGTAACTGCTGCTACTTAGAATGTAGATTCAAATCCAGGATTTGAGCCTACAGTCCAGAACTTACACTTTGTAATTTTGCTGGAAGACACCAAATTTCTTCATTGTGCCATCCAGTCTGCCATGAGGTCCAGTTCTTCACTCACATGGGTCAGCCAAAGGACTGCTAGAAGATGTAGAAAAAATGGGCTGGGAAGGTGGCTCAGTGATAGAGTGCTTGCCTTGCATGCATGAGGCCCTGGGTTTGATTCCTCCACACCACATAAGCAGAAAAAGCTGGAAGTGGCACTGTGGCTCAAGTGGTAGAGAGCTAGCCTTGAGCTGAAGAGCTGAGGGACAGTGCCTAGGCCCAGAGTTCAGGCCCCACTACCCAATATATACATAATATATATCCATATATATATCCATATATATAATACATACATATATACATATACATATATAATATATACATAATACATATCCATATATATAATATATGCATATTATATATATGGATTATATGGATTACTCCCTATGGGCGTGGACATATTTTTTCTTCATTTCTGGTTTTCACATTCCTCTGAATTATAGCCTATGGAGAAGGAGCAGAGGGAAGGAGGCACAATTTAGCACATCTGCCCTCTACTTGGGTGGGAAGCTTCAAATTCATGTTCGTTCCTTCAAAATACAGATTCACCTTTCTCCCTTCCAGTCTCCCAGGCCTCATTCATCATCACCAGCGCCCTAACTTAGTTTGGCTTGCATTAATTTTTCTCATATATTCCCTACAAGTGTTTCTTTTATCTTCAACTTGTGATTTCTTCCCTTATATTAAATGAAAATCCAGTTCTCAAGGTCCTATTTTTTGCCTATTTGTTCTTGTAGTTTTGGTTTACGCTGTTATACCTTCCCGGGGTTGTATGGAAAAGACTTAAGAATGGGGAAAGGGACGGGTCATCATAGTCAAACATTTCTCTGTCCTTCCTGCCCTGTCTGCTCTGCTGGCAGAACCTAACACTGTGACCGCACAGAGTAAATGTTCACACTTCCCTAGAGTCTGACTACTGTTAAGTGTTGTGCATAGTCCCACGGCATTAGTAAGATCTATGAGCCAGCTTAGAGAGGCAGGCACTTAGGCCTCACCCCAAACCTATACAATCAGAATCTGCATTTTTCTCAAGACACGCAGAGGATCTGAATACATTAAAGTTTGAGGAGCACAGAATCAAGTGTGCATGCATAGTATATACTATCCCAAGGACCTTAAACTGAGTAGCTACTTGCATTTATTTACCAGTACCTACTTTACATCTCTTTTCCTCATTACAAATCCTTTTCAGAAACTCTCAGGAAAACTCTTAAGCAGGGAACTCTTATTACGTTGTGGATGGAAGGAGGATCCAGTTCAATCCCCTCCTCTCTGCCCCTCCTCTCGAGCCCCAGTGCTGGACTCCCAGTGAGCCTTTCACAGATTCTCTTCTCCCAAGCCTCACTTTCCTAGGGAAGATTCAGCTCCAAGCCCGAGAGTGGCGGCTGCAGATCGGTTTACTGCTTCCCGGACTCACAGTTTACATACCAATACAGAGGCAAACACTTTGCAAAACTGCCCTTTAGAAACAATTATCACCTTGCCACCTGAGATTTGCAGCAGCCCCCCCCCCCGCATGCCCCTCCCTTTCGAAATCCGTCTTAAAGTGATACAGAGAAAAAGTGAAAAGGAGATCGCAAGCCGTGATAGATCGGCTTCAAAGAGGACAGATAAAAAGGAGGTTATTATGAGTATGTCAACCTAGGCATCGCTCTCTGTACCTTTCTGCATGCTAGAAAAGCGGAACCATATTTCTAAGGTGGCCCAAGCAAGACCGGGTAAGCATCCAAATTTGCTGGTCCACTTTTGCCTGGGAAAGACAGCTTCCCGTAATTCCTTTCCAAAAGATTTCCAGGCTACCCTCTTTTCTCTTCTGGTTTTCGGAAAACTAAAACTCGCAAAGCGGTGGATGTCTGTGGATTGGCTAGTACTAAAATATCCATTGGGTGGCAGTAATACTATCCTCTTTATGACTTGCAGCAAACCAGAGAATGCATTCAATCAAATGAACCGATCTTGTAGAAACACTGGAATCATTTATGCATTGCAGTTTCTTTTTCTTGTTTTTGCTCCTTCTTCCCTGGGATATTTGGAGTGGATTGTGGCTACTTACCAAGAGCTTGTGTTATTCGTGGTTTGCTTGTTTGCGCTTGGGATTAGCATCACCGAAGATAAACGCAAAGCGGCTTGTCCCCCACCACTCTTTTGAAAAATCATTTTTGGGGGCTGCTGAAGAGAGCTAGGACCCAGGAGACACCTTCCCAAACAGCAGGGTCTGTGTGCTTTCACATAGCAGTACTGTACAAGGAAAACCCCGTCGGATCTGTTATTGCGGGATACTTGTGAAATATCCATAGGATTCTTTCTTATGGCTGCATCCCGGATCTGTAAATTTTACTTGGGGACCAAGAGGATTTGAAAGCTACATATATCCAGAAGATTTGCACGCAAGACTCCAATTCTTGTCATAAAGCTTACAGACTTCCTCACTTATCGGCCTTTCCCCTTCGTTCTTTTTTTTAAAAAAAATATTATTTCTTCCGCTTTTTTTCTGCTCTCTTGTCTCTCAGTCTCTCTTTTTCTATCTGCCTCTTCTTCTTTCCTCCCGGTGTTCGTTTTTCCCCCCTCTGCTCTGCACCTGGATTGTATCTTCACCAAACAATCGGGCACTTTGAGAACTAACTGGAGACAGTCTTGTAGGGAAGATCTGTATGGAATCATCTGCTTTTATGGTGAACCTGGCATTTGTGAATGGGTATCTTGTCCATGATATTAATTGCTAGCCAAAACAAGAAAAAGAACACAGGAGTAAAACGTGGATTTTTCTGAATACGCATTGTGATGACCAGCAATTACCTTATCGACTGATATCCAGAGAAGAATAATTTGGAAGACTGTTGTGGGTAAGGTCATTTTATATATGCAAACCCATCAATGGTGTGAGCGAACTTGGGCGTTTGTAATGGGAATGGGTGACTTGGATGCTTGCTGCATCGCATTGATGGCTGTGATGTGGCCGTTATTGGCACTGAATGGAATAACTGCAGTTGGGTGTGTTGGTGTGTGTGTGTGTGTGTGTGTGTGTGTGTGTGTGTGTGTGTGTGTGTGTGTGCGTGTGCGCGCGCGCCTGTTTTCTGAGTATAACAGAAAATAAATCAAAGGATCACTCTTCCTCCCAATTATTTTCATATGGAAGAGTGTCTTGAATTAATTCTGATAGATACTCTTTGTTTGGATGCAATATTTGTGGCTCTTGTGTTCTGGAGGGGTAACATCAGTAAAAGGAAGACTTCGTGAAGAGCCCCGTTTAAAATGAAAGGAGCTACTCTTTATTCTTGAAAAGAAATAGGTTTTCAACTCAGTGCAGTATTCTGCTGCATTTCACAGCCGCAATGGGACCAGGGACTTCCCACTTGTCAAGTTCCTAAACTTTAAGGTGATAATCATTGTTAATTGTTATCTAGATTGTGGTTATGGGAGATTATTAAGTGCCTTGAACTACTTTTCTGTCTATTGGACTATCACTCAGAGTGAAAAGGGGGGGGGGGGTGAGAAAGAAAAAGGAAAGCTGAAAATGATAACTAAATTAGAGAGGAGTAGACCAATATTTTCTTCAAGATTATCATAGTATTTTCTTCCTTAAATTCCATTGCCCAATGATACAATATTTTTCCCAATACCCCTAAATAGCTGAGGCTGCGACCCACGTGCAGGGAGTCGAAGGTCTGGAAGCAGAGAGGATCCTTTCTATTGCAATGCAGCCAGTTTGGGAAATGCAGGCAATTACACACTTCCCTTAACCTTAAGTTGAAGATGTGTTCAATCTGCTTTTTTACCCTTATGGCAAAAAGTTGGAAACTAGAGCACTAAGAATGCTTAAGAAAATTCCGCCTGGGAAATGGGATTAAAAATCGATATTGATGACGTGGTTCAGTGCACTGTACTGCAATGCTAAAGTCTCTTATTCAGTACCTATGGTGAGAGAATGGAGCATTTACATGTGTTATAAATCTCACCTGGTAGATCGATCCATCCGAAGGGGAGGGGAGAAGATATGTGGATATGTAGGAAGATGGATGGAAGTCGTGCATAATCGGTGATTATGTAACTTCATTACATCAGTAAGCTTCAGTCAACGATAGTGAGATGGAATGATTGTATAGAAAGAGGTTCCATCACCCTGTTAACTTTTGATGGCTTGTAACAGCTAACAGAGGAGGAGGGCCAACAGAGATTAGCTCTAAGGGTCCTGTAAACCTTGATCTCTGCAGTGAATTTAGCATGAGTTTCCTTACAGTGAGTTTCTGAGGGAGAACAGATAATGCTAGCTGTAAGGCTGGACAGGAGCAATTTTAGCCACACCCGTGGAGAGTGAAAATGTGTCCGCAACGTTTCACAAGTGCCCCATTGAGTAATTGGGACTGATGATCCTAACCAAGGTCATAGTTCTTTTCCCAATGATTGAAATATATGACCCCTAACAGAAAGGAAAGTTAAATCCATTCAAATGAGGACTGTGAAGGAAATGACTATTTAGTGTCCCTCTCTTGAATTTTTCGTCGTTTGGTTTGATGCAGATTTCAGTGTGGTGATTCCCTCATATAAAATGATGATTGCTTTCACAGTGTGTCAGAAATGAGTGCTTCTTACCTTTATCTTTGCCATGACAACCTCTTTCTGGGCCATTTTAACCCTCAGGGAAAAGAGAAGTAAAAGAGAAACCTTTAGAGGTAACAACATCTTGTTAAATGAAAAAAAAATGGCACTGAATTCATTATTAATACAAAAGCCAGAAATAAAGAGCAGTCTATTTTCAAGTTTTACTCATTGAATGCTTTAAAAGACATGTTGCAGTCACTGGAGACTTTTACCATGAGCAGAGATAAATGTGCTGTGTGCACTGTACACAGAAGGGAATACTGCAGAATAAAATGTCATTTTCCCTCATGTTTTATTTGGAGCTGTGTTTTTCAAAAGCAGATGTACATCACTTTCTTTTGGCCTTCTACTGTTGTAGGATCTGTTTTCCCTCACTAGATCATATATTTGCAAAAAATGAAACTGCTGACATTCTAATCCTGGCCAATTGAATCTTATTATCCAGTTGTGCTCTTTCCTACTTCCCTTTATGTTTATGTTATAAAGATGGCTAAATGACTTTTCTGTCAAGGAGATGAGATGATTCTGTTTTTCTTTTGTTTCTCATATTCCATACCCTTAGAGTCCAATGAAGGGAGTCAGGAATAGGATCTATGGACTCCCAAAGTAACTTTAAAAAGATTTGCTCACCTTAAATTGGAATGGGGGAGTTGTGGAATGAAATCTGGAGGTCTGGTATTTGAGGTGACTTTCTTATTTCTGCAGGACATGCCCCAAAATTGATAGACTGTGCCAGTGGATCCGGAGGTTTGGTGTTCAAATTGTATAGGAAATTGAATGTGAAGTTAACTCCTGATTCCTTCCTTCAGGGGTCAGGGTAACACTACGGCTGCTTCCAGGCTGTTAGTCTCCAACTATGTGCAGAAATATAGCCTGCAATGATTTTTCCTGTATGCTTTATTTTAATATTTTATAAATGACTTCCTCAGTTGTTTTCTGACTTAACCCATACATATATTATCAAACAGGGCAAATTCTGAGAGGTTTTCTAATCTCAGAGGAGTATGGAAAAATAACAGAAAGGAAAAGAAACCTGTATAAAAAGACACTGGGCATGAAACATAGAATGTTTCAACGTGTAATTGCTATGCTTTTACTTGAAGACTGCATATACTCATATTAGAAAAGATAGCTTCAATCATTCTAATGGCTATTTCTAACCTGTTACTTTCTTTAGGAAGATTATGTAATCAAGGCAGTTTTTGACATTTTCTTGTATCTTCGAAAATAAATAATAAAAGATTGCTTAATAGGAAAGCATTTAAACATGAAGCAGTTGAGTGCTGTAAAACAGTATCTTTAATTATATTTTATTGCTAGTTTTGTCATCCTCATGTAGTTACATTAGAAAAGATTCAAGAAAAGAAGAAATGCCATTTTTGAAATGAATATGAAAACTATTAATATTGGTTCCTGACCAGTTGCTTCAACAAGGTCAGCCAGTGTAGCAGATAAGTAATCACAGTATTCCTGTATATCTAGAGTGCATTTCAAACAGATTTTTTTGTTGTTTATAGTGTACATGAATGAAACAATACTATTTTCAAATGACCAATAAAGCTTTTGAGAACACCTGAACTTTGCTGATTAATTTAAGGTTGCTAATTCAGGAATCTTTTAGTCTGTCAATACACTGAAAGATTTGGGATACACTTTGTCTTACAAGATATAGAATCTTTGGTATTTGATGTTTTTTTTTTATTTTAAAAGAAGACTACTGTATAATTTGTAGCAAACCAAAGAAGTATTGACTAGTAAGATGGAAATGTAGTAAGTTTTTTAGTGATGTTTAAATTATAAAGCATAATTATGATGGTACCATTTGGGCAGCTATAGATAAGGTCGTGTCAGCATTTTTATTATTAAATTCCAATCTTATTTCCAGTAGTCCTATCAGAAATCTCAACTAGGAGAAAAAAAACAGCTCTCTGAGACACTAAGGCACTGTGGAATTCTGGAATGAGTCAGAGCAACTGAATTGGACTTCAGGCTCTATTAGTTTGGAGCCTTGTGACATCTGACCCTGTACTTGACCTCTCAAGAGTTCCAGCAAATCATTAAAATCATAATAGCTACACGCTACAATGAAGAGGATGATACGTGATTGAGTGCTTATCACTATATTCTCCCTTAAAATATATGGAATTATTAAAGGTTGAGAATTTAGTAAGTCTTTATGGACTTAGTAAAACATTTTGTCTCATGCTATAATTGTAAATCTTGATAGACTCATTTTCTGGTATCAATTTACAGTTAACTGGTAGGTAATAACATTCAGTGATTAAGCAACATAGAAAAATTAAAAAGCATTGGTTGCTGAATTTAACTCACCAAATTCATTTTTATTTTTCAGAAACACTCATATGGGCATATATATGTCTTAAGTAATTAAAATAGTTGTATTTGAATAACATTCAAAGAGTGGAACTAAGAATTTTGCCTGTGAGGGTGTTTCGATGTGATTACATTTTAAAATCTCCCTTCCCCCCCACCCCCCTCCCGGAATGCTTAGGGCTTTTTGTTTCTGGTACCAAGAAGAAACAAACAAACTTGATGATACTACTTGAATTGGGTCAATTGACCAGAAAGCGATGCTCAACTATCACTTCATTAATCAAAGTGGAACGGGTTTGGATAACAAGTGTAATAGAGGAAAGGATAACATAAGCATATAAATTCTGTTTAGAATTTTCTGGTTGCAATAATTACTAATGTTCTTTAGGGGGAGGCAATCCCTCATGTGTCATTACTAAAGCTGCATTTCTTTTACTGTTCTGTACCTTATTATAATATATATTTACATGCACAAGAAGAAAAGAGTCATTGATATAAGCTTCCATACAGGTTTTTAAATGGTTTGATACAGGCTTGGGGAAAAAAAGGTCTTTATATTTTGTTTAAGGCAGAATTGGAGACTAAAAATTTTACCCTGTACTAAATAGAGAGATAGTCAGTCAGACACACAGACAAACACATCAATAGACTTAATTAAAAAAAAATGTTACAGAGCAACTTCTTCCTACCTTCTTGGTGTCTTGCTTTTTGTAATAAGGAACCTCAATGTTTCTTTGTTTCGGAAAAATTAGATCATGAATCCTTGTTCAAGTTGATTGATGCCTGTAAATAGCAAGCCTTTGTTCACTCCCTGTATTTAAAAACATATATCTTTTATGTCTTTTGGGAATACTTCAGATTCACTCTAGCAGATTTACATCAGAATATCATTGGAATGTAGATTGTCTTA